GTAGCCAACATTTGGAAGAAGAATGTTTTTTAAGATGACATGACTTGGATAATAGCGCGTTGTGACAAACACCAGATACAGCACTGGGACTTGATCAACAGCCGATACCGCACCGTGACGTCACAAACCAGTAGGTGGCAGTAGTGTTCTTTGACAAACAGGGATGCCTCCTGTAAAGCATATTCAAACAAAATTATTCTTAATTAAAAATACTTATTTTTTTTAAGCAGTATGTAATATTTTCATATTTAAAGTACTTTCAGAACGTTGGTGCTCAAAGGTACCGATGGCTGCATGGTTCTATGTCTGGGAACCAATCCTCCATTTGTTTCTTTTTCCAAAATCAACCAAAATATGGATTTGGGTTCTCTTTCTCAACAAGTCTATCAAAACCATTTATTTTTTCAATGCTAGCTGTGCTAATTGCACTAATAGTTCATATAAGATTCTACAAACCGTTTAAAATTAATTGCTGTCGCCTTTGCTGCTATTATGGAAACCTAAATATAACCAAAAATTCTTAGAGAGATAAGTCACATGCCAAGATAATTTCTATAAAAGTCATATATTATAAAGAAGCTGTGACATTAATTACAGCAGCTGTTTTTCCTGACTGTTTCTCCTGCTCTCCATGTTTTCAGCCACTCTGTGTCTGGTGGATCTGGCCGGCAGCGAGCGAATGCTGAAGAGTCAGTCTCAGGGAGAGCGCTTCAAAGAGATGACCTGCATCAACAGCTCCCTGTCCAACCTGGGCATTGTCATCACCTCTCTGGCCAATAAGGTGTGTGAGGCGGATCCGTTCACAGTAAATGACTGAAAAGCTGCATTAATTTGGTGTTTAACCTGTCTCTCATTAAAACCCGTTTCAGGAGAGCCACATTCCCTACAGGAACTCTAAGCTGACCTACCTGCTGCAGAACTGCCTTGGAGGAAACAGCAAAACGTGAGTCCTTCATCGGATCCCCTATAGATGCACTCATCTGTTTAAAGTGTGGTTTATTTAAAATCCCGATTCAAAACTCATGTTGAGTCACTTTTCTCAGAATCCTTTAAGTTTCCAATGATTTTTGTGGTTTTGATTCTCTAGGTTGATGTTTGTGAACATTTCCCCTGAGCCGGACAGCTTTGGAGAAACTCTGAACTCACTGAGGTTTGCAAGCAAGGTCAGTATGTGTCTCTTAATAAGGTCTGAATTAAATACAACTTTATTAAGCCCAGAGGGTCTTAGGGGCAACTTCCACCTGAAATGACATATGTGAATTAAATTAAGTGCAGCTCCCAAACTTTAAATTGGAAACCCAGTTGGTTATATTTGTAGGACAGAAAGGCATTGTGGGATATTTTTCAGGTGGAACCACTATTTTAAAAGTCGGCGTGTCTGATTTATAGGTGATTAAACAAATACCTTTTTTTTCTCTAAAATAAAAACTTCAGAACACCTTGAAACCCAATTTGGAACTCTGGATGAAACCTCAGACTTTATAGATCCACATCTGGACTATAACTCAAGCAATTTTAGGTTGAATACGTTGAAGCATGTTTGTTCCACAAAGGTTTTAGATGGCAGTGTGGTAGGCGGAAATGTGATTTTTGGTCAAAAGTAGCCAAATGCATTTTTCCACTCAGCCTCATATGCAAACCAGCAATGTATGTATGCTGATTTACATTATTGGAGACCTTCTGCATAAGGCAAAGCCTTTGCTCCTGAGACTTAGCCGTTGTTTCATTGAAATGTAGCATTGAACACACAATAATATGACCTAACTGAATAGAAAATAAGATGAATTGTTTAATTATTGTCACTTAACATTTTATTTTATTGAAAACAAGAATCAGAAATCTGAAAACTGTACAAAAATGTAAAAATTAATTTGAATCAGAGAGTTCTGCTGAGAAAATATGCAAAATATTTGCAGATTGTTATTATGTAGAAAAAATGTGCTAAAAATGTTTCAATTGTGAGGTGTGACCATTTGATTTGTCTTTCCGCCAGCTGCTATACTGTCTGTATTTTCATTTGTGTTCTTTCCACTGTTGAGGCTTGAGGCTGAACGTAGCAGCCTGGAAGGTGGCTGGCAATCATGAAATATGTATTGAAAAATATATTTCCTCTGAAAACAACAATAACACTGTAGCTGTATTTGACACTAACTTCTAATCATAATAGGAATATAAATCTAAGGAAGTTATGATACATCAGAACTAATATATGTATTTATTCAGATCTTTGCAGAATAGAAATCTCA